CGCCGCCACATCCTCGCCATGGGCCACGTCGACCTCTCCTCCATCCCCAACGTCGGCGTCAGCGGACATCGCCTGTGGCTCGCGTCGGCGCTGTGGGCATCCGCCTGCTTGAACCGCTCCGCGACGAAGGCCAGCCTGGGCTGGATGTCGCCGTTCGAGGCGTTCTTCGGCCGGAAGCCGCCCCTCACCGTCGAGGTCGGACTCACTCTCTGAGTCTCTCTCCCCCCCCCAACCTTGGCGTGATGCATCCGCTCTGCTCTCGCCCTCCCCGCCCTCCTCGTCATCTGCGAGAGGTAGCAGCTGCGGGGGAGCGGGCGATGCAGTGGGCACGTGGCGCCAGGTGAAATTGCGGGTGATGATTACGGTTCCAGCTTCGGTTAGCATGCGAACGCAGTCACGGGGGTGATTGTAGGCAGGACCAAGGTACCATCCTTTTTCGCCCTTGATTTGCGACTTTGCTTTTCTTCTCGACTTGAACACGGCTGGTTTGAGAAACGGGTATGTAGACCTGACAGGCGGTGGGGAGTCGTGGAACATCTCGTAGGCGGATTTGTCTCCCTCGTTTGATTTAGTGGCGGTGCAGTTCAGCTGATGGCATGCACACGAAATGGCCTCGGCCCACAACCCGGGGTGGTTTTGTGCGTCCGGGAAAAGTTGCGTCGCTTGGATGCGTGACGCAAGCGCGGCACCAGTGATCAACCCTAGCGCTCTTTCCGCTGCACCGTTGTATTTTGGGGTGTGAAGGGAGGTGAACTCTTGTTTGATGCCGTGTCTGCGGCAAACTTCCGCAAACTGCCCCTGGAACTCGCCACCACCGTCGGTACGTGCGATATAAACCTCACACGGAACTCCTTTCGTTCGGTAGTCCGCCAGGAACTTCTCAAACCCAACCGCTGCGTCAGACGTGTGTTTCAAGAAGAAAACACGCGTCCAACGGGAAAAATCGTCTCTGATAATCAGTGTGTACCAGTTGCCACCAATGCTCCTGGTTTTCATCTTTCCCCCCAAGTCGAGATNATTCACACGAAATAACTTCTTAACTGCGTGTGTGCTCGTGCTCTTCTGGACGGGTTTCAACTGTCCCTTGGACATCGAACAGCCAAGACAGGGTAGCAGCGGTCCATCCGTCAGCTGCACTCCCTGCTGCTCCGCCGTGATCCTGAGCAATGTCTCGTGGGCATGGTCGTGCGCGAGGTGGTACTCGTTGAGGTCAGTGGGGTTGGCTGCTTTCGCATCGCCAGGAACAATGAGTGGGGCACAAGCGGTGTGTAGCGTTGGCTTTATTTGATAGCCTCGTTGGGTCAGCAGCTTTCCAGTCCGGGGGAACCACACCTACCCCCCGGCTTTCGTGGTCAGCGTGAGGCCCCCCTGCATCCCCGAATACGTGTGGCCCTCCTCCGCCAATGAAGACAGCGAGAGGAGGTTGTTGGGGGCCTCTAGTACATGGGCAGTGTTCAGTACTGGTACGGGTACTCCACCATCTTCCGTCTGTAGGACTACGGTCACATCTCCGTATCCTAGAAGAGGAACGGGGGCCTTGTCGCCTCCGATCCCCTTCACCCAACCGCTACGCTCACGGTAGTTCACGAAGTTGGCTGCACATCGGAACATGGAGCACGTGGCCGCTGTGTCGGCCACGTACACCGCCTGGCCTTGTTCCACAACCCCCACTAGACCTACTTCACCAACGGTACCACACTCGCCTGGGGGGGCTGCCACGGCACAAAACGCCTGGTCTTCCACGGAGTCCACGTCGCTCTCATGCTCCACCACTTGCGCTAGGACGGCCTCCTCCGTCGCGCACTTTTCTTTGGTGTAGCCTCACCCCTCGCAGCGCGCACACCACGGCACGAAGTCCTTCTCGTTGGNAAAGGGTACCACACTCGCCTGGGGGGACTGCCACGGCACAAAACGCCTGGTCTTCCACGGAGTCCACGTCGC